ACTCGTATTATTCTCAATCTGAAGCTTTGCACACTGATACATCCCCTCACCCTTCTTTACCTCCAGTAATGGCATCATCTCCAAATCGTTCAGCCCTTTCTGAACATATAACATCAGTGCGTCATGAACCTCGATCCCCTCTTTTTTATTCTGACATTCCGCAATCATCGTCAAGAATGCCACGAAAAAGTTATTATAATGATGGTCATTCAATGGAGTTTGCGAAGAAATGGGATCAAGTACGCGATAGGGAGCGAGATAGAGGATTTGATCGAGAGAGAGATAGAGAACGTCTGATGGAAAGAGACCGTGAACGAGAAAGGCAACATTTGGAAAGAGAGAGGGAAATTGAAAGAGATCGAAGAGAAAAAGAATTAAGATTAATTGAAAGAGAAAGAGATTTCGTACGAGCGCGCGATCAAACACGTTATTACGAAATGGAAAGGGAATTGCCTCGTAATCGAACATCAGGCTATGAATACGGTAGAGAAATAGATCGCGTTAGGACTCCATTTTATAATAGAGAACAAGAATTAAGGGATCGTGATTTTGTTCGATATCGAGATACTGAATTGGATCCATATGTTAATCGTCACTCACCACCAGGTCATTCAACATACAGGGATAACTACAAGCGTTTCAATGATTATTATTACCATCCCGCGACATATTCAGCTACCCGTCGGTCAGTATCTCCACGGCCACGTTATTCTACACGACGTTCGCTTTCTCCAGGTGCCAGACAACCAATTGCAACTTATGAACGTCGATATGATCGAGATCGACCTCCTCGTTTTGATGCTGCCCGTGGTCATGAAGTTGATTCTAGACGTGATGTTGATTATAATTATCATTATAATGATGCGCACAATCCTGGTTACAATCATTATTCTCCTATGATACATAATAGTCAGACTCATGTGAGATCATATGATGATAATGTTATTGGGACTAGTGCAAGTTCTTTAAATAATGAGACTTTCCAGCGAGATCGTCCAAAGTCAAGACATTGGGGTGTCAACAATGAGAAAGAAAGAGATATAAAAAAGATTCATAGCAACCCAAATGATGTGTATTCTGATAACTATGATCGTTATAGGCGCGAGAGACGTAAACCGTGGGATGTTGTTGAAAAAAGTAGAGAAGATGAAGATGAGCAAAATGAATCTAGCGTTACCACTGCTACTGTTACTAATATTCAGGAGCGAGCTCGAGACCGAGAACGAGATGAAAGACAAAGAAGCTGGGATGTGAAAGAGGAAAAAACTAGAGATGTTAAATCAGAACGCAATAATGGGGG